CCTCAGCCCTTTTCTTTTTTGTGGGCTCGTAACTACCACCAGGCGAATCGTAACGCGTTTGGGGACTGAGTAGTGGGTTGCAGGAAGTGGTAGAAGACTGAGCAGTGGTAGAAAAAACACAAAAGGAAAAATAGCAGGGGTTTTTCAAGCGTCTTGCTGGACAAACTTAAACTCAGTGGGGCTATGCTTTATCTTTTGCCAGAAAAGCCAGTCTTCACAGCTGCAGCAAAACTCAATAATGCTCGTTCACATTTCAGGTGCTACATCCCTAGAGACAACGACTCCGTTTGTAGCTGCGTCCAATTTTGAGCACGGTATCTATCTTGCCAACTCATCAATCCTGATGCCATCTCCAGCGAAAAGATTTTCATTTGGGCAACTTCTTGCAATTTGTGATCACGCCCAGCGTGTCATTATACTATATATCACTTCATCATATTCCCTGTGCCAGCAGAATTATGATATTCACCATGCCAGCAGATCCACAAAACAAGCAGCTATTGAGTCAACCGAGTCTCTGCTGCCCTCAAAATGATGCATGTATGACCATGTTTTGTGCATGGAAGGCATGTTAAGCCACAATGGATTTGGCGTTCGTTTCCAGTCGCGCCCATTGTGATTTAGCAGGCCTGATTGCGTCCATATATGCAACAAGCTTGCTCTTTCTATGATCGTTTCGTGTACCCCTCTCAGCAACGGCCGCTGTTGCCCTGCACCCTGCACGCGCTTCACTAATATGCTCTTCTGATGCCTGAAGAAATATAGTAGTGGAAAAGCCTGCCAATAAAAAGTCTATTTAAATGTGCGTCACTTCCAAATGGCGCTATTCAAACAACCGAAGCCCACTTATTCAATTAACACTATCTAATTTACTTCTTGAGCGAATAACTTTTCTGTTCCTGCAAGTTGCTGAACTCATAAAAAAGCCATCCATAAAGGTCAGGTGTCAATACAAGGAGAAACATGGTTGACCAATATTCCCCGCTACCCGGTATTGTCCGAAGCTTTGTTAACCGCATTCGCGTATTTGTTTTGTTGTGAGATTGTGTTTTTTTATTTATTTCGCAAATTTTGGTAAAAATCTCTTCTTTTAACCAAAATCTTACGCAATATATCACTACGACGGCTGAGTTTCAACAAATTAATAGATCTAATGACACGATAAATATAATGGCTTATGAACGCGACGGCACGTTGAATGCAATTTCTCTACTTACAACACAGGTATCGTCCACCAAGAAAGTATTTCCAACAAAAACAACGCCGACCCATTTGCCAAGATACATTAGGCAAAGAATTAGAATATTTTACTCGTTACTACTGAACTGTTAATTGCCTTATGCTTATTGTTCCCCAATATTTTTCGTTGTCTTTATTCACCGGCATAGATTTCTCAATGCTTGAGATACAAACAATATGGTCAAATTAATGTCGGGCAGATTTCCAATGCTTAATTAGTCGAGCGCCAACACTGAATGAGCTTTTATCGTTCTACATCGCTCCACAAACACTGTAACTTCACTTTCAGAATTAATCTTTGTATCGAAATATATATATTGGCAGGCAGAGTCAATTACTCGAAAGTGCTTCGGCCATGCGAGCTACTGCAGTAACACGACCGGCCATTATCGCTTCATCTTTGACGGTCCGCTCCGCATCGCTGGACAATGTCGCGAAACGGGAATGCGCCGAAGACCCCAGACGTGCTTCGTGGCGAAAGAAATATCGTGCTCGGGGCCCGGCAGAAGGGCAGCACGTGACCTTAGCTCGCGTAAGAGACCTCGACCGCTTGCGCGATTCTATCTTGCGTGTCTTTTGGAACACCGCCGATATCTTACCTTGGCGGGCGTTTGGGGCGGCTCGCTGCCTTTCTGGGCTCGGACACAAGGGCAGAAAGAGCTCCCGACCAGCACTTTGCTTGGTGCCGGGGCCATTAAGACGTCATTTACATGCTAATGAAGCCGAACGAAACGAACCCGCGAGGAACCGCTGGGAAGGTGAGCCGATAGATAGTGGGGACTAAAGAAAAACCGACCTCGTTATCTAAATAACATAGAATATATTTTGTATGAGTCCCGAACATCGTGGTTTAGCTCGCAATCGCCTGACTCTCAAAACCCTACTGGAAAACGATCCTTGTGCCTCAACTACCGATATTTGCTCTGGTATCATCAAGAGCCGTGTTGAAATGGTGGGCATAAAAATGCTTCCTAACGCGATCTTTTGCTTTCTGGCTGCGAAAGTTTTCACTTTGCTTTAGGTTTGTGGGGAGTACACCGATGACTGCTCGAATTCAAGGCGTTAAAAAGAGGTAGTTCCTCGCAGTATACCAGTATTGCATACAAACTTCACGCGTTCAACCAAAGGCACAGTATCAGTTCTTACGCCTTCCAAGTTTGTACCGGTTTATATAGTGATGGCGTCTAACCAAATACTTTGAAATAATATCTGCTATGATGTAGCCTCTGGTCTCCTGCATTGATAAACGCCGGTAAATTAACACCAAATATAATTCCGGTGATAATATTGTTAAGCATCCATTGAGAAAAGATGCAAGTGCTATTTACATACGTTCTGTCTCAGCAGGTTTTGTCGTGAATTTGAACATCGTTCTTTCTGAGATGTACCGGGGTCAAAAGTTATGATCAACTTAAGATTACATACATCTCTCAATGTGATCTTTATAAATATGCTTACCATTTTCTTTCTCGGGTGTAGAGGGCATGACCCGAATATCAACTGATTTTCCAGAAAACGCCGATTCTACAGAGGATTTGACAAACACCGCTTTAAATCTAAAATTATACGAGGAATACGCATGCTGACGCATTAATAAGACAAAAAATGAACGCGAATGCTCGCTATGTCGTCATAAAAATGAGAGTCTTGGGTTATCAAAAACCAAAGGGGCCACATTAGAAAAAAAAAAAAAAAATGTCCTGCTAGTTTTTTTGTTTTTTTTTTTTTTTTACTTTTAGGTATTTTATTGCTACATGGCGTGGGCATATTCCGACTCCCAATCTGACAAAGCGAGAGCTGGCCTTCCTTATTCAGACAAAGACGGGACGTTTGCGCTCAGGTTCCCAATCTTTTTATTCGTAACACAAACACTGCGTAGACACGCGCCTCCACCGTAGTTCTCCCGTGCGCCACCTCTCTAGCCTCGCTGTCACGGGTAATTTCATTACGCATGCGAGTGCCGTCCAGCAACGGGGCACGTAGATCAACAGGGAATCCCGAGCGATTGCTTTCCCGCTCCCGGTGCCGCCGGCGCCGGTGTGCGTCGGCGTGTTGCAGTGCCGTCGACGTCTCGTCAGGTTCATTGCGATCCGCCTTCTGTCGCTCCATTCTTCGATGCGTTGCATCCTGGCCACAAATTCCGTCAACTTACAAACTGTCCGGTGTGGAGGTCGACGCCTCGGCCGTCTGTCCCGTGCTGCGACGTAAAGCAGTTGCTCTGTACACGCCGTGGATAGAATGCCCAGCCGCCTTGGAGATTTCTCCGAGGCAAACGTCCGAACGATTCACGATATAAAACAACGAGTGTTTGTTTACCCCAGTGAACCTGGAACAGGCAGGGGAAGAAGGCGTAATCCTCCCCCCTTCCCCAACCCCGCCCATCTCATCTACAAACATTTTAGACGTCTTGAATACCCGAGACTTCGGAACAAACACGAACAGCACACCTAAGTGTCTGGTATTCAATATGTTGAACGTTCATCAGCTGGCCTGCATCTTCTTTGTTATGCCTATCATTTCAGGCGTTCTGAGTAAACTACACGGGAGGAAGAGGGAAGAAATCCCCCTCCTCCTCAAATCCAGTCTTCCGGACACTTCTGACGCCCCTTGTTCAACTTAATTTGCTGCACCGCTGCACATTTGCTGTCGGTGTCCTTCCTTCAACAATGAATGCCTTTCCGTCGTTTCTCAAGTGGCATGACCTTCACCGCTTTCTTCCAATACCATTGCAGTCTAAATTCGGGTAAGGCACACAGGCAAGGCACATATCCAGTGAGCATCATGTTTTATGGACAAGATGAATCACTTGTTGCCAGGGGCTGAAAAACCAATATAACTGCTTGCTTTCATTTAAGACAAAATGAACATGAAAGCAATAATATTAAAATAACTGCCCCTCCTCGCCCTCGATGTTCGTTTGCGTTCGAAGGATAAGTTGGTTTTGTGGTTCACGGGCATTTTTTTGTAGAGGAAAATTAATGCCCAGACCTAATGGCCAGTGTATAAACTGTTCATGGCCCATTCACAGAAATTTGGGATGCTTCCGGTGCTTTTTCTTTCTTTTTTTTTCGACTCCTTCTACGTATGGGCCTTAGTTGTACCACTCGATGGCGCCACCAAACGGCCAAATAAAAAGCACCAGGGTAGGCAACGAGGCACTGCAAGGCTTTTTGTAGACCGTTTTCTCTTCTACGCTGCGCCATCCGCACCGAAGACGCGGCTATTGTGCTCGTGCGCCGCTAGTATTGTCTGCAGTGTTCCGGATATCGTAGCGGGTTGCGGCGGAGAGTGTTATATGCCGCGGGATACGATCTACGAAGTCTTTAATGGCAACCCAAGGCTCGCGTTGAGTAACGAGTGTGCGCGTGACGGTAAAAAAAAAAGTATTAGAAGATAAGGTATTCACATGCCAGAAAAAAATTAAGATATCCGAAGTGTTATACTTCTCCAAAGAAATGGGTTGCGTTTCTATGGGAGCGAATTGAGCAATAGGTAGATAAGCTAGCCGAGTGTCGGCTCCGATAGATGTTTATGAAGGAAGGACAGGGCGGTTAACTTCAACATAGATTCTGACCAGCAACTGTGTGCTGGGGATAAGGGGATAGGAAAGGAGGGCATGAAAGCAAGACAATTGAGCAGATGGAAGTACACTGGCGTTCGACATTAAGGGTGAACACATCTGCATCACTTTCCACAGTGCCTCTTATAACCTCTTATTTTCGTTTTGTCGTCCTCTCTCTTCTCGACCCAGTACTCCGCGAGGAGTTCCGGGCGATGCCCAAGTCCTCCCGCGTGGCGGCGGGCGATTCGGCGACGCTGGAGTGCGTGGCGCCCAGGGGCCACCCCGAGCCCTCGGTCACGTGGTTCAAGGACGGCACCCAAGTGGCCACAGGCACGGGCCGCATTCGCCTGCTGGGCCACGGATCGCTGCTCATCGCCGACGTCAGGCACGCCGACCAGGGCCACTACGTGTGCAGGGCCGCCAACCTCCTCGGCACCCGGGAGACGCCCGCCGCAACGCTGTCCGTACACAGTGAGGGACCCGTTCCTCTTGCGAATCTCGCTCCTTGACTGTGGAAGCCAAATCCCTGCAATGAATTTCCAAATTACAACTAACAAAGTTTAAACAAACATTACTAGCGTCCTTTACTCAAACTCCTAGGGCGCATGGAATTGCTTACTTTTGTTTAGATGGCATTAAAGAGTCGTTTCGGAGAAAACATGTTGTTTAACAATTTCCCCGCTAATTGTAACGATGATGTTCACGTCAGGCTGCTTTATGGCATCACAAGAAACCTTGATATCTTTAGTTGACATTTTAAATTTTTGCCTATTTAACAAGCGCCTTTCAATAAGACATTCCTAGTCCGTCGTTAAAATGTACCTTGGCAGCTGTTGAATTTTAAAAGGATAAAGCCTGCATCGCGGTATTGAGTGGCGAGTCTGGCACCGAAACTCAGACGGAAAGACGCCCTGAAATCTCCGCCCCGAAGACACGTCAGAAGCCGCTGTGGGAGTACGCTGCGATCAGGCACAAGGTGGTCGAATGGTGACGTCGTCATATCACGATTCAAAAGTGAAATTTGTTATACCGGGCTCAGCGAATACTTTCTGAAATCCCTAATAATAGGGTAATTGAGAAAAAGAAACAAAAGAAAAAAAAATCGGGATCAAACAGCTCAGTCACGTCGGACGCCAGAAAATCCGAGAAACATACAAATTAGTTCATATACAAAACCGAAACCACGAAACACGTCCAAATTTAGCGTTTCTACGCGACGCCGTAAAATACTGTACGCCCCCTATATCTTCCCAAAATCATCTTTTCTTTTTGATGATGCTCAGCAAGCTTCTTCCCGTAAAGAGATATTTTTTTTCTCAAAGATTCTATCTTTAGGATTTTCTGAAAGGCTTCGTTCAAACACCATGTATCGCGAAGTAACTGCTCAATAACGCGGCTCGTGCCTACAAATAAAAGGGATACCCTATATGGAATGACGGTACTCAAAAGTGACTGTCCTTTGAGGGAACAGCCGTACTTTTTTTTTAAAAAACCCCGTCTCCGTGTAAGAAGTTTGTGTCTTGAAACATTCTGGAACGTTTGCAATGCGTAGAAAAGAGAACATTTCAGAATTGACTTGAGTACACGAAAAAAGAAGTACTCGTGCCCCGGTCGGATTTGGCTCCCACCGAGGGAGGTGTAAAGGGAAGTATATATTAGCTGTGCTACACAGTTAGCGGAGCAAGTGATTGCCATTTTGTTTTTAAATCTTTTTCGCTTAAAATCAAAAGGCTCTCATCAAAACTACTTGTGTTATAAAATGGTTTGTGCCGCTAGTACCCTTTCAAAGTAAAACGCAAAAAAGAACCGATGTCGTGTTCGTGCTAACCGGGTCGCGCAGTGCACATACAAAGCTACCTTATCCACGTTGACAGCGATCGTGTCGGTATCTTTGGGCCGACTACTCGCAGCAAAGATGCGTGTCCATATCATAACTGCTGTGAGCTGTTTTGGCGACTGGATACAAACTTATACTATAGACGAGGTTACTAAATAAAGATATTATAACTGTAATTAGTAAATGTAAGTTTCTGCTAGTTACTTACGGTAGAAGCGTTTCATGTCATCCGCCGCGGTAGACAACGCTATTCAGACGAAACTACTTCTGTATTTAAAGAGCGCACTTAAAAAAAAAAGTAAATGCTGTTATATATTACGGGCTATGCGTTTACCAGAACATTTATTAATTTCCTGGCATGAATACACGTCACCTTATTCTTTACAGCGAAGCCGTACTTCGTTCGTGTGCCGGAAGACGTGACGACGATCAGCGACGAGTCCGTGGAGTTCCAGTGCAAAGTCAACGGAGACCCGAAACCCACTGTGACCTGGAGGAGGCAGGACAGAAAGATGCCCGTCGGAAGGTAATAACGTTTTTACTACTAAAAAGTCGAAGAAATAAAAATTCCGACTGAATATAAACAGATAGACTTGCTGAACTGCTCTAATGGTGTAGTTGGATAAGGGTAACATGTACTTATACTGGGGGAAAAACACTCCGCAATTAATTATAATTTGCAAAGCCGTACAACTGGAAGTTTTTATTTTATTTCAACACCTGACATAGCCACTTGGTTTGGTATCTGTCTCACTCCTGAACCAACCAGCTCTAATTCACGGCTGCTGGAGGAGCCACTAGTCTCGCTCACTTACAGTGTTTTCAAGAAACACGGAATTTTCTCAATCATATTACCATCCATTTATTTTCTGCACTTTCTCAAACTGGCCGCAATCTGGAGCTTCAAAGCTCGAGCACGAAGTGTTAGCTGATGATTTGATGCCGCCAACCGCCGAAAGTATCTACAGGGTGTCACAAAAGAAAATTTACAGGTTATTGTTTTTTTTACCGCAAAAATAAAATAGGCAACGCCGAACGCTCATTCTCCGCCTGAAGGTAGCGCCAGAGGTCACAACCAGATTCCAAAGTTTCAGCCGGATCCGAATACTTAATCAAAAGTTATAAGTGATTTTCTGAAAATTGCAACGGGAAAATGAAGCCCATTTTTGCCTATTTTCGGTTTCTGCTGCCCATAGAGCCCTGTGTATTCAAATACTCCGTCGGCCGCCATTTTCCCATTGAACTTTTCAGAAAATCACTTATAACTTTTGAATAAGGTAGCGGATCGGGTTGAACCTTTGGCATCTGGTTATGACCTCTATCACTACCTTTGGGTGGAAAATGAGCGTTCGGCGATGCCTAGTTTATTTTTGTGACAAAAAAAAACCTGTAAATTTTCTTTTTGTGACACCCTGCATATATAGCTTTGCCTGGTTACCTGCTATAGCACTGAATGAGACAAAAGACGTCTCTGCCCTGAAACAGAAAGACACCGAGGTACCCAATTCTCAGTCATCTTTCCACAATCAACTAAGGATGTCCAATGAAGTATGTGTTTTAAACGGGGATATGACGCTATAATGCCAGGGCAGTGAACAGTGGCGCCTCAGTCGGCTTCTAGTCAACGCGGCTGGCGGCCAAAAAGGGCAGCTTTCTGCGGGTCACGCCACTGAAAGATTGGCCACCAGCGCCGGGTCGCAGTTAAACAGGGCTTACCTACGTTCGAGTTCGAGACCGGGTCTAATGGTGATCTCTGAGTTGCGATAATCCCGCTTAAGATGGAGCTACCTGTCGAAACGAAACCTAATTGCCCAGTCGGTACACTCCCGTGCAAGGTGGCTGCACCGCATTATAGGGAACTCTGGGGGAAAGCAACTCGAAACGGCGCAGAGACCCGTTTCGGCGAGGAAGCAAGAAAGAAGGAATGAAAAAACAGGAGCAGGAGGAAACAACTAGGAAATGGGGAAAAAATGCCCATATAGAGTCGTTTTATTGAGATTTCTTTGATTTAAAGGCAGCATACAACGTGCCATTCACATGCTGAAATATACCTGATATTTAGCTTTATTTCTGTATCTAAGGCTTTCTGCTCTAATAAGTATTTATATAGGAGTATTTATAGTAGTATATAGAATTTTATTAAATTTTTTACCTAATCAAATAACAAAAACGCTATAGATATAAATCCATTTCTCTATTTTATTGAGAAGTGTCTTTATAGATGAAAACAACTATTTCTATGTACAAACATTCAATTTTTCACCATTTTTATTTTGTTTTCTATACATCTAAGCATCATATTTTTATCTATATTCATTCACTCGTTAACTCACTAATTCAACAAGAAAGTTAAAATAATATGAGAGGAAAATATTAATTACTAAATAAGATTAAGCAGTCATTAAACCTAAATGGAAGTTGTGTTCGAGCAGCTCAAAATAAACCATTTTTTTGTCTGGCATTGATACAATACACGCCAATTCTAGTAAATCTTTCAATAACAAAAATAAAATTGTTGAATCTTGCTTGTGCTTTTCGCGGATTATTTTTTGCTTAATTTAGGTATTTCTTGTTTCAGAGCCAACATCCAGGAAGACAAGAGCTTGCGAATACAGAACGTTGCCCCCACAGATGAGGGAACCTACATCTGCGAATCTGAGAACTTTGTTGGCTCCGTTTTGGCATCTGCTAGACTCACCGTGCATTGTGAGTACCAGTGTGCTTGTAATACCTAATATTTTTTTTAAACATTACTTTGAATTATTTAATTTCTAATCACCTTTTTGTTTTATAGAACATTTTGCTTGTTCAGTCCAGTTCAGTTCAGTTTTATACAAACGAAGTAAACACATCCTAACGCTATTTCTTTTCTCGATTATTTTGTACAACTTTCTGAAAGTATTTTCTCAGTAAAATATAGTAAATGTATCGACAGTCAAAGCTTATCGCTGCGGAGAAAAGCCAATCATGTCAAAACAGGCAGCACAGACCAATTTGTTTCATGTTGGCTATATGTAGAAATCTGATATTGTCAAATTGTATTTTGGCAAAAACGGAAATGCCAATTGGTGTGTCACTTAGCAGGAATTAGAAATAAAACGTTTGACAAATTAGAAGTATTCATGTTTTTCAACCCTTCGCAATTAGGAGTAAGTATTAAGGCAATAAGTATGTTTTTCCAATGAAGCATCTTTTCAGCTCGACCCTCGTTCCTGCTGAGACCCGAAGACCAGAAGGTGGGACTGAATGGCGTCGCTAAGTTTCACTGTCTTGCGACCGGCAATCCTCTACCATCGGTCTTCTGGACAAGAGAGGGGAACCAGGTGACGTCATCTCTTCATCTTTAATTTTTGTTTTCGCATTCCCACTCACAATTTGGATAGACACATGAAGTGGTACGACTGCTAGCCATAAATGCGGAAGTAAAAAATTCAGTCCGTGAATGTATATTATTATCATGGGCATTGTTCGTCTTCGCATATAACAATATCAACTGGCAAGAACTTGTACTTGGAGCATGTATTCTGTACCTTGTAAAAAGAAATTAACTAAAATTCTTGTTTTTTTTTTGTTAGACAAGAACTATATAAGAGAATCATATAGTAAAACAATTATATAGGTTATTCTCCAAACACGGTGTAGGAAAGATATTGCCAAGTGACATTAATAATGTGTAGTTCTATAAAACAGCCTTTTTGTAAAAAAAAAAACTGAACAAGCCTGCCTAGAAACTTAATAGGTTTATATGTTCTAAGCAATTTGCTTTTCTGCATCTAAGAGACATAAACGCATGATGTTTTTTTGTTTTGAGAGCTTCGGTCATTTTTGGAGCACTGCTGGCTTTTATTATTAAGGTTATTGAGGGTTTTAACTCATGTTAAATGAAATCTTAAGCTCAGGTACTTCAAGCCGTCTAACTCTTGAACCAAGAAAACGAAGAGTGGTAGCGTACCAAGGTGTATCTTAAACAGAAATTATCAAATTGACTTCATGTTTGTTGCGGCTCCAATGACAGATGCTGATGTTCCCCGGAAAATCCCATGGCCGGTTCTCGGTCACGAACGAGGGTACTCTGGTCATCTCGAGTGTGCGCAAGGAAGACAAGGGCTACTACACCTGCTCTGCACTTTCGGTCGTGGGCTCTTCCATGGCAAAGGGCCACCTGGACGTCACTGCAATGGACGACCTCCCACCGCCGGTCATTCGTCTTGGTCCGGCAAACCAGACGCTGCCCATTAACACTGCAGCTATCATGCCGTGTGAAGCTACGGGCGAACCAGTCCCGAAGGTGCGCTGGCAGTACAATGACGTCCCCTTGCAGACGGATACTAGGCCAAGGTTTGTGATTCTGCAATCAGGAGCATTGAGGATTAACGGTAAGTTTTGTCTGATTATTGTATAACCTCTGAAAGTGAAGCATAGAACCAAGTAACGGTCCACACAACCCATAATTATAAAACGCAAACTTTCTACCAGTGGTTTTCATGTGTATCATGGTACTTTTTATTTACAAATCTGTTCTCTTAGATCGTAAAGAGTGAGGTGCTCTGGCAAAGGGTGTAGCTTGTAAAGAATCCTTGTGACTTTGTGTGCGAGAAGCGGATTCTCACGTCCCCAAATGGTGCAAGGGTCACGTCTTCTGCGCAAATTTTATCTATCATACTTCGTCTGTCCCTTCAATTGGCGACAATCAGAGCTACAGGCCGCTAGGTCCAGTAACGACGCAGTTAGAAGCCACAGTAGTTCTCTTGGATGTGCGCCTCAGTGCGCCACATGTACCGTGGTCGACAAAACGAAACGGACCAGCGGAGTGCAGGAGTCGGTGTTGACAGTCGTAAGTGCGCTTAGCTGAGTCAACCAGCCATCGGCTGTTCGCGCTCGGAGTGCAGCCCCTGACAGATGCGTGAATCTCAAGCAAAATCGCTTTTTAATCTTGGTGTAACACTCACAATTTATTTATATATCAGTCCTTTAAGATGTCAGGTTTTATTGCATAACATATGTTTTAAAAAGAAAACAGCGAAAAGGGAAGAATTTTTTTTAATTCAGTCTACAGAAAGGACACACCTGCTATGACACTACACATTTATTTAGTATGAACTACGTGGGAGCCGCTGGTTTCCCTCCCCCGAGAAGGCGTAAGCCGTGGACGTTCCGAGCGGAGTCGTCTGACTTCGAACCTGGTCGCTTCGTATTTTCTCGGGGAGAGTACGCCACCATGCTGACCTAGTCTCTCACGCTCCTCCGTGCGTGTCCCGTTTTCGGCGGACCAGAGAGATCGCACGAAAGAGTCGGACCCGCCCTCCTCCCAGTAAATGGCCGTGTGGCCGAGGATCCCTGGATTGAACTTCGGGCGACGGGTCGAGTAGCGGCGTACTATCTCGTCCAACCGGCGATGACTCATCGCTAGCGTTTCCATTGGCTCTGACAGTCGGCGTCCTCTCCTCCTAGTGGACGTCCGTCTGCGTAAAGCCCTGGCCCGAACTCTCGCGACGACGGGTAGCAGCGTGAGCTCGGCCCAACCGGCGCTGACTCTGCTCGCTATACCCCTTTGGGTCTCTAGTCGGCGGGCGCTGCGGGCACTCTGTGTCCACGCCTCGCTTGACCGCAGAGTCTTGCTGGGGACACTTGTTTTCCAATAAACGCTGTTGGATACCGGAATCATCGTTCGTTGGCATGGCGTTGGCGCCATGCCAATCACTGGTGATCCATGTGAATCAACCAACGAGTGGGACCACCGTGTGAACGCAGTGGGTTCACTCGTTCACGAAGACGAAGAAGCAGACGACAAACCGAGTCTAAAACAATAAGACAATTCGAACTGCTCTTTTACGCTCGCTGACAAACTAAGGCATCGCAAACAACACAATCTTATGAAGTACAGACATGCAGGAGAATCCAAGCGGATACCAGGGCGTCCCAAACGATGATGTACGATGATGTAAGCGCAGCACAGCCCTATGCAGCCGCGAAAAGGGAAAGTAACGACTACAAGTAGCATGGCGGCGGCACCATTTCCGTAGTGCACGCGCCTGCGCAGTTTGCTTGGTGACAGCTGCTTTATTGCTGCTCCTATTCACGCGCGTAACGATGATTTGAACACGGGGGACGAAACACGAAAATAAGGAAAAAAAAGCGCGAGACGTACGAACAAAAAATTCTATATTGATCCAGTTAAAAAAAGTAAGACATGCAACAAAAAGACATGGCCTAAAATCGAAAAGCACTAGGCGAAGAAACGCTAAACAGTAGTGACGGAACTAATAAACAAGGCGTTCAAAATGCATTTTGCGGAACCGAAGTGGGCACACTACACTAGCCAAAGATTATAGTATTTTTTTATATTTTTTTATTTGGAGGAGTCAACTTGGTGTGTTGTTTTTCTCCTCTGCCTCTTCACTTTTCGCTGCCTGTTGCCAAAGTCGTTTATCTTTAGCGCGTGAAAGCCGCGCAGTATCGGAAGTATTCGCAAAAAGCCTCCCTACCAGGGGCGCTGCGCGCAGTTCAATGTATTGGTTGTCCCGGGCGGTGGAGTTCGATGCATACGCACAGGGCGCATATACTTTTACGTGGGATTTTGAAGGGGTAATATTTGACTTTTCGAAATACACGGTTTAGATATATTCGGGCTCGACTTATTAGCACTTCCGTTCGCCATATATTAGTGCATGCACCTGCAGAAACCAGTCTCGACTGATCCGAAACGAACAGTGTGGCATACTGCCGAGACGCTAAGTGCAGCTCAGACTAATGGTAAATAAGAAAACATACAATTTCCATGGCCGGCTTTCTAGAAGCAGCGTCTCAGTTAAGACAGGGGAAAAGAAGGCACTTCCAAAGCTAACGCACGAGTGGAGTGGCGTTTCAAGTTGAGTCTCAAGCGCTCGCGTGTCCCAGGTTTGGCAGGCTTTCTTTCACCCACTCAAAGCTAAGACGCTGTTTCTAGCAAGCCGGCCCTGATTCCACGAATGTCTCCCTGCTTAAGTACTCCTTTTTTGACGCTGGCAGTTGACAAACTCATGTTTTTGTTTATTAAGTGGTATTGTCTTTCTAAAGTAAAACGTTAAATTTGTTTTTATATTTCTTGGCAGCCTGACCGACTTCATGGCAGAATGAGACCACGGATGTGTTATGCATTTATTGGCTGGAGAAAGCTTATAGCTGCAGAGAGATGCACACTCTATACTGTTTTTTTTTTTGGGGGGGGGGGGGGGGAGGGAGCGCTTTGTAAAACAAGGGCTGCCTTGAAACCAGAATAAAAGAGTCATGATATATGGCTTATGCTCATATAAGAATGTTTACCCCTTTAAATTCAATTTCTAGGGTTGCAAATACCAGACAGTGGACTGTACACCTGCACAGCATTCAGCGAGAGTGGAGAGACCTCATGGAGTGCCTCTCTGACCGTCGAGTCTCCTCACAACCCCAATGTCAACTTTCACCGGTCCCCAGATTCTTCCACCTTTCCTGGACCACCTTCAAAACCCGTTGTAGTCAACATAAGCGAAATTTCAATTACCCTCACGTGGAGACGGAGCGAAAAAGTTGGAGAGTCCTCGTTGAAAGGATACTCAAGTAAGATTACTCGACGGCGTACTACTGGTGTGGGGTGTCTCGTTTTCTGCTTGCACTTGCTTCAATGCTTCAGGTCTTGTAAGCTGTAAAGTACAGGTGGAACTTTTTAATTCCCAACCTATGTGTTAATTTTTAGTATTTGTTCCTTTTCAGTGCTATTACTTTATCGTAATCATTTTAGTTTATGGGGTAGATGGCGCAACACAAAATGTACCACCGAGTAAACACAAAGGCTCATCAGTGTACTTTTTTTTATATTTCAGTTGAATACTACAGCAGCGATCTGCAAAGTGGCTGGGTTTCAGGAGCTTATCGTGTGCTCTCTGAAACATACACAATTCAGGCACTGCGGCCTGACTCGCGCTACATCTTCATCATTCGAGCTGAAAATTCTCACGGTTTGGGGCCACCAAGTCCGGCCTCCGATACCATACGCACTTTAGGTAAGTATTATCGAAACAATTACCACTCTCCTACATGAAATAACATAATTTACGCAAACTATAAAGGGGCATGGCTTGTGTAAAATGATGCATATATTACTTTACAGTAATATATGAATATAACATCCTCTATAACATCCTTAAAGCTAAGGTGGCTTATTTCGTGAATGTTTCTTTTTTTTTTTCATGCTAGGTACTCTGACGCAAGTTTCAATTACGCACATATTCAATACCCGAAGAAGTGGTAAATAGCTATTGTGCAGGAAATTGAACAGTCATGTCTAACGCCTCTAATTGAACAGTGAATGTTAAACAGGTTAATCTTAGGATAAGTTTCGATGAGCCTAGTTAATGTTGACATCATGCACTCTATGCAAGAACAAGCATCTTCCCAAAATATTTTTTTCAATACAGGTTTGTGTAATGTCATTCAACTTTGTTATCGTTTACTCTGTTTAGGTATTATTTTAGATTTTAAAAGTAATTGGGAGACTGTGTTTTTCAGGATTAGCTCCTCATTTTCTTCCTGAGCTTAATTTGGACGAAGCCCGGGTGAAGTTGACCGCTTGCGTGGTGGCTCTACTGGACATGCGTGCTGTAAGCTCCACAGCTGTGAAGCTCACCTGGAGGGTGAGTGTATGACAACTCCTAAAACCAAATTAAAGGCAAACTTTACTGCTAAGACAGAATAAATTGACCTTACAACTCGTTATCAAGGATGAATGTTAGATGAATCTTGATAGAAACTTAGTATATTGGAGTATTTCGATCATGTATCCATGGCAGTGCTCATCATATAGTACTTCTTTGTTACCGGTTAGTATAACTCTGTACTAGTCAGATTAAGTGTATATTTAAATTTAGCAGATCAAAGGCAGTTTGAATCGTCGTGCGTGGTCTCCAAAGAGGAAATAATCAAAAATATGCTGATTAATGCAGCGTACTTGATCGAATGAAACAAAATCCACGAAGCCGCCGAAAAAGAAAATATTTTGAGGATCCGGGATTTGAACCCCGGGTGTCCCACTATCCGGTCGGGTATGCCAATACTGAAAAACTTAGCAAAGTGAATAATGAATGCACTAATGGATGAATGAAGATGAAGCTCAATAAAGGTTAATAGAGATAAATGTTAAGTGAGAAATTTACTCTGTTATTTTTACCTGAAAATGACTAAATGTTTAGTAAGAAGGGTTGTGTGCATTGTATAAATTTGTAAATCTTAAGTATCAGCGATATCATAATATTTAAGTCAACCCGCCCCCCCCCCCCTGGTGCTGAAATTTTTGTGTTATTTCACTCATAATACAGATTCAAGGAGACAAGCATTACGTGGAGGGATTCTACATTCGATTTAAAGATTTGAGTGGGGGATCACAAATGTACAACATGGTGACTGTGCTCAGTGGAGGAGCTTCGTCTTACGTCCTTAACGACCTCAGGCCATACACGAAATATGAGTTCTTCCTAGTACCCTTCTACAAGAGTGTGGAAGGTCCCCCCAGCAACTCTAGGATTGTCCAGACATTGGAAGATGGTAAGAAAAATACTTGAAATTGTAAAGTTTTTAACGAAGCGCACAAACAGTTTCAGCTTCTAAGCTAAAAAAGACAACCTAGGTGAAAACATTAAATCATCTAGATTGCAAATGCAATGACTGTGATTGATACACATTTAATTTTTCCTATTTCATTTAATGTATTTTATTTTACCCGAAAGGCATCAAGCGATGAATACATCCGGGTTAAATCAAGAAAGTGAGAAGTCGTGATGGCCTTGGCATAAGGAAAATTGATATTCATCTGTCTTTGAGTTTTGCAAGTTACATTAGCACAGGTGCCTAAACGATAAAAAGATCTACACTAGTAATACCTTAAGTGTTGAAAGCATATTCAACATAAAGTTCAAGGAGATAGTGGTGTACTCACCATTAGTGTCAATATTACTTGTACTGGAGAAACTTGGAGATTTATTGAGCACCATCGGTGTGGTTTCTTTGCAAAAACATAAATATTGCAATGTAAGCTCTTAAGATTGCGACCATATCTGTTCTCCACTACAATAATTCTTCCAAATGTGCAGGATTTAGAATGAAAAAGGTAAAAGTTTCCTCGGTACTTTAAAAATATATGGATGCTTGAGATGCCCGGTACAGATTCATCTGGCTTCGCACTCTGCTCGAGGAGGAGGAGGAAAGAAGGAGGGAGAGGAGGATCGGAGAGGAGGAAAGAAGGAAGGAGAGGAGGAATAGAGAGAGAGGAGGAGGAGGGGGTAAGGAGGAAACTGAAAAAGCCCCCTGAAAGTTTGTTGTGGAAAAAAAAAAGAAGGTCATCTGATGAGTGTCTGCACTGTTTTAATAGCGAAAAGCGAAACTTTTTTTTATACTGGAGAAAACACTAGAGCTGAATGTACACCAAAGAAAAATGCATGCCATTATTGTTGACCAACACAACGACGTCGAGTTGGTTGTAATGGGCACAATATCGCTAATTTATACCCATGCATGGAGCGCTCCAGCGATGTTGCCAGGACATATATTTTTGTATGTTTACCACTTCTGGTAGTGGAAAGCAATATAGTCATCCTAATACTATCCACGAACCTTTCCAGTTCCAACGGCAGCTCCTGAAGATGTTAGAGCTCATGTGATGAATGTTACCACTGCCACAATATTCTGGTCTCCTCCTCCACCTCAGCATTGCAATGGAAAGCTGAGAGGTTATAATGTGAGTCTTAACTCCTTAGTACCTCTCGTGCATGACCCCAAGTCATAACTAAGTAGATCTGAAACATTCTTAAATGTAAAATTGTATGTCTTAAAGTATTACTTATTTACTCTTTATTTCAGATTAGGTACTTTTATGCTAAAAATGTGCTAACGTGATTTCAGGTCTATGTCATAGGAGACCCGTCTGAGCCCATCATGAACAAGAGTATGAATTCTACGACAAACTCCCTCTTTGTGACCAACCTCCAAGTGGGGGCTTCTTACAAAGTTCGCATTTTGGCTCACACCTCGGTCGGCAGCGGGCCCCTGAGTGCTCCAGTTCTTTTCAGAATGGGTAAGTTCAGACTCCTTCGGAAGTTTAGTGAAGGCAACCATATTCAAAGTGTATTTGAGGAAGTATCTTTATATAGAGGCTCGAAGTTAATTTGCTGGACTTCTGCTCTCATTTTTTTATCAGCAGATAACCTATCTTCGACGTCATTGTCCACCCCTTTTCGCAACGTCGTAAAGCAATCCTGGTTCATTGCTCTCATTGGATGCCTGATGTTTATAGCCGTCAGCATATTTTTATGTGTTGTGGTTCGCAAAAGAAAGCTGGAATTGAAGAAAGCAAATGCAGAAGGTGAGAAAAAGAGGTCCCGAATTCCTCTTATATTTCTGCAAATAACACCAATAGACCTAAGTCCTGTTTAAAATTTCCTTCTTTTTAGCTCCTGTTTGCAAACCAGATGAATTAAGGTAAGTGACCATTCAGTCCATCACATTCTGTTTTGAGATTGCTTTTGATACCTTGAAACTGTATGGTCCTGAAATAACCGAAACGAATGAAACTGCTCATCCACCCCTTCAGCAACTGCTTCAATTCACTAACTAGGAGGACAGGCCTTAGTCCTCAAGACGCTATGTGGATCAATCATAGTGCCTGGAGGGCCTGCGATCTATCCAAGGACACCTTCTGTGAGACTAAGCTGCTTAACAAGATGGACTGTACTTCAAACGACCTAAACTACTCCAGGTAAATTAGCACTATATTTTACAGCTACTTTGCTTGCATAAAGTGCGGAGAGAGAGGAAACACTGGTGGAGTGGGAATTTTAGTTCCCCCTCTGCTGAGAAGGGTTTGCCGAGTGGCTCCTTTTGTCGTGCAAACGAAAAGACTCCGAGTGCCCGGAGTTAGCGGTAATGTGAGGGGGTGCTGAGCAGCAGCCATGCTAAATAGCGGTGAAAAAGCGGTAGCTCGTTCACCGCCACCTACAGTAATGTGAAAGCATTGCTCACGTCCGCTGGGCTGTACTTTCAGCAACGAGCTCAGGAACCTCAGCAGGGTCACTGTTTCTATGCATCTTCTACTGAAGATGCATAAAAAGATGTGTAAGGCTGTAGCGAAGCGTAAGTAATCAAGCGGTCGAGGTCGTACTGACGCCTTTACAAATTATTTGGTCTTGCTAAAACGAGCCTCTCAAATCTTTAGTGATTTTAAATTATTTACAATAACTCCCATGGTTGATGACATTGCTGTATCTTATTAGGCTTTTAAAACGAGATCATGTCTTGTTTTATTAACTATTTTGATTGAGTCAATAAATATAATGTTGAAAGCAGGGTTTTCCTAGAAGCCCTACACAACTTTTTATGTTTGTCCACCTTAAGGAAATTTAATGAATAAAACGAACTATCTGGGGAATTATTTATATGACCTTGCAATTTTCGCTAGTCATAGGGATGAATAGCCATTGATTAAAACAAGCTGATGTGGTAAGAAAAAAATATTAATTTGTTACTCACAGAAAACTGGAATATCTCATTTACTACAAAACAAACGTACAAATTGTACAATTGTTTTTAAAAACTATACAGCATCTTATTCCCCAAAATAATAAATACGCTAACTTTACCTACAGCTGCCTAACTTCCACACCCAAAGAGGCACCAACACAGTGTACACCACATAGAATTTCAATCATGCAAAAAAGTTACGTTAGAACTAGCAGTAGGTTTTAAAAGGCAAGATCATGCCTTGCAGAGAGTGGGTATTTTATTAAGCCATGATGAATAATAAAAACAAAATGTTTCTGAGGAGCTGTCATCTGCCTTAGCCCTGCAGATTGATACATAAGACTTCCAACATCCTTGAACACATTTTGTTGTGGAAGTACAGTTGGTGGTCCTTAATACAGGCTGCAAGAGGTTGTATAATGTCATAAAATGAGCCTTTCTTATGTACCTCAGTGTCCCTCCATCACTGTCATCCCCTATGAAGGTAAAACATAGCCTGGCCTCTGAAAGGAGCATGACGAGGTATACCGTTTTTATGTGTGTAGTCTGCATTTTTTTTGCCCTGTCACTCCAGTACGTTTTGAGTTTTTGTACCATTTACCTTTTGTTTTTTCGAAATACATCTTGATATAGTCCTCCCAACTCACTCTGTAAACAACACCACACTACTATGTTTCCCTCCCAGACGTGGATGTTTGAACCTGGAAATTAATGGCAAATTGTGTAATGTGACCCTAATGCAAATCCTAATTATAACGCTTTGAGGCCTCAGTTAATTGAATTCCAAGGTCTTCTAATGTAGCAGAGTGAAACATCCCTAAGGCTTGGTGGCATATCTACAGCCATGCTCATACATTTAAAAAAATTGTTAGTGAAGGGAACAGATCAACAGTACCACTTTTTTTTCTCGGGGGAAGTTGGTATATTATTTGAATAATTATCTTAGGATGGCTCAGGTGTGACCTAACGATTCAATGGGTGTGCACTGTAGGATGGGTGGAACAATAAATATTAGTAATTATAATTATGATAAAATAAGTTGAAATAAATTTAAGCTTTAAAAGTGGCTACAATTTTAGGATGCAGTTATTTTAGACCGCTAAATTTAAATTAAAAAAAAAAACTGAAATAGAAGTTTGATCATAAGTGAAACAATGTTTTGCTTTCCGGCTCTGGCACAGACGCTGCTTCACTTGTGTCAAGCTTTCTCGCTTTGACCGACATGTGCACAGGAAGCTTCACCACTGGATGGCATTGTGCTAAACAGTGGGTAAAAGGGGGAGTGGGGGGGGCTTAACTTTATGTGCTCAAAAAATTTGTTCATTTTTGAATTTCAAATTTGTTCAATTTGACCTTCTATCGCTACAAATATAGGTTAAACCGTAATATTAAAAAAGAAGTTCCAAATAAATGTTGATACATATATTTTAAAACTATGCAAGTTAGCCAAAGTTCGTGAAACTGATGCACATTTAGTCAGGAATGAGAAATGGTAAACAACTATACAAAAAAAAAAGAAAAAGAATTATCAATGAGTCGAACTTGTGCTTACAAACTACAACTGCGTCGGCAACGGAAGGGCACCTGTTCTCAAGCAGCATGTTACCGGTGCAGCAGGAACGTTTCAAATCAGAACACTCGATGACATCCGAGAATGGACTGCAAATTTCCAGAAGAGTAGATAGTTATAAAAAAAAAGTTCTGGCTAAAGGGGGTACGCGCAGTGGTTAAAATCCGGTTCCTCCGCCTGGCAGCCTTGTGTGCTGCCAACTTCTCCACGCCCTCGGCAATTTTAGGCAACCTTTTCTGGCGGGCAGCAAGGTGAATTAGCAAACCCAAATTTATTTTTATCAATACTGCAAACTAAAGATATCTTGCATGAAAAGAAAGACGTTCGTGGTAAAAAAAAGTGATGTATGAGTTATGTAAGCCTAATATTTATTTTATAATTATGTACATTTTATTTTGGTTTGACTAAAAATGATGTTCACATTCAGGATAATACATAGAAACGATGGCATGCTCAGCGATGCCCAAGTATTAAGCTAAATAGTACTTCTCTTTTACTTTAGTGTCTATGCACCACTCAATTGTGGCATGAATGCTCCAGACTATGCAGAGGTTGATACACACAACCTGACAACTTTCTACAAAAAAGATGTGCCTTCAGTACCTGAGCCATATGCCACAACTACATTGATAAATCCTTCACTCCAGAAAACCTTCAGTGCTTCGGTGAGTGTTAAGACACAGTTGTTCTGGGTGGACGATTGGAAGTTATGTCCACTAGTATAGTTACGCCATAAAATCATTTTAACGCATGTAATACAAACCCACTTTTATCTCCATTGGTTTTGTATAATTGTTAGACATTATAGTGATACAACATGTTATCCACTAACATCGTAGGTTATTTGTATTCACTTAAAGTAGTTTGTAGAATTATTTTCAGCTTTAAATAATTTCAAATGTTTAAATGTAGATGTGTGAACACTTGTGAAACCAAGGAAACATATAGAAAGACAATGTACGTAGCATTTTCTATTTCCAGGGTAAAGATGGGCGCAGCGGTAGCTGCGGTGAAGAAGGAAGTCGTTTATCAGACAAGGCTTTTGACCTTGACTTCAGGAGATCAAACGAAGGTAAATTATTTCGCAGGTACCCTCAGAGAAGGCAATGAAATGTTGTTGGTAGCTAGAGAGTTTATTCACTGTATTTTATTTGTAACAGATGGCATCACAAATCGGATGCTGGAGTCTGACAAGCACACAAGCCCAGTCAGTGATTCTGGAAACTACACAACAGGTGAGAAATCGTTAACCAAGGAGGAAACTACTGCAAAAAGGCAACACAGTGTTTTCGTATACTCATCACATCTGCCTCTTAGAGTTCAGTTTCAACTTGTCTTTATATCCATAGATGAATATGGCGGGCCCATAAAGAGCCAGCAGAAATCGTCCAAGGGAAATGCCATGTCAAAGAACCCCTTGAAGAACTGGGCCGAAATTATTCCTCCACCTCCGGAACAGCTTCTCAGTGATGCTGGCTCAGCACTAAACACCCCCGCTTCGCAGCGGGGAGCGTCTCCACACCTTAGGCAACTAAAGAAAAAGGTAGGCACGCTTTACAGCGTTGGAGAGACTAAAAATCATTATGTATTTAGCGAGCTAAAAAAAGTACTTGTTTATAATCATTAGTTACAATTAAAGGTAACTTATGCCTCTGAGATAACATGTAGATCAGTTGTCTTATACTCTTTATGTAATAGATGGATGATGGGTGATTTCATGGTTTTGCATCAGGTTACTAGGAGTATTGTTGATTGCCCAGTGCTACTAAAGTGCGTATACTTACGTGCTCCTGAAGGGCACGGTCTGTTGGCCTAGACCATGCCCTTCAAGAGCATACAGCAATCAGCATTTATATATACAATATTTACATATCAAGTACAGATCATTGTCGCGACCTTCGAAAACCTAGCCGCTCAAACTTGCTCGCGAGCTTTCTCTCTCTGTCGTCCTTTTCTTTCTTGCCGATCAAGAGCTGGCGTGATGACCGCTACACTACCCCCTTCTCGTAGATTTGGTTTATATCGTATGCAACCGAAGTTTCCGCTCAAGATGCCTTTTTGTTATCTATACCTCCAATAAGACGTCGTGCAAAACTTAACCGAATAAAGAACATTCTTTGTGATACGTAGTGTGCACCTATTATTGCTGTGCAATGCTTCAAACACGTTTGTTTTGTTCTCTACCATTAAGATATATATATATATATATATATACGAGTAAACTTGGCAGTCAAAGAGCTCTCACTGTCGAGGAACTTATAGTGTCGAATCCCTCTCCAGTGCTCTAAGTTCAAACTCACAGCCTTCTGTTGTAATAAAGTAAAAAATCAGTTTCAAGTTTGCACTACTATTAAACCAAAAACGGACTGACTAAGAGAGGCTATATTCCTCATTGTTTCAGTCACCCGGATAATTTATTGTTCGTAATCTTAAAATATTGCAGTACGTTCTGATAACGCGAGTCCTGCAACTCGGGTGGCCTGCTTTCATGTTTTCTATTGATGTAAGCCGATTTTGTTTTGTCCAGATGCTTTCAGGCTGCTCCCAGTCCTCTCCAAGAAGTGCGAGGGTGGTGCACCGGGTCCCCAGGCTGACGGGCTCCTCCCCAAGTGCTAGCCTTAACAAATCAAGCAACAGCCTCGAGGCCTGTTACGCTGACCCCAGCACGGGCTTTCATTTCACCACGAGAGATCTCAGGCCAATGCTGAGGCCTCCATTGCAGTCACAGCCGCAGATACAGCCATCGCCTTTCTGCCAGACTCTCATGAACAGAGGAGTCCAGTCGTCCCTCCCGTCGCTAGAGAGCGAGTCGCAGTCCTCACCACCCACCCCGGAGCTGTCTGAGCTTCATCTCGCGACGTTTCAAGGTCAGTTGATATACCACATAAATTAATTTGCTACTCTAACGGACTTTGTGTCATCCTATGGCCTAATAAGAGGATGATCTTTGGCCGTATATGTAGCTTGCTTATTTGCAGTAATCTTAAGCTTTTGCGTCGAAAATTGTTTTTCCTTTATTAGAACCATCGTTGGACTCTTCCAGACTCTTCTAGCACACCAATGTGTTCCATATGCAATATATGTTCATTAGGATGAGTTGTTGGCAAAAAAATATGCATATTTACTTATATGTAGTTTCCGAGTGAGGAGAGATTGACAAGCGCAGCCGTGGTTGTATTGCAGACGAAGAGGGGAGAGAGGGATTATTCAGCTTATTTTTTATTATATAAAGTTTAGAGGAAGGGAACGGGTGGCGAAAAATTGGTCCCGGATTGAACCCGCCACCCGCAACGATATTGACACAACACGTCATTTCAGGTTGCAAATGTCGGAAATGGCCCGCCTTCCAAGGTATTTGGGGAACTCTAAATACCTTGGAAGACGGGCCCTTTCCGACATTTGCAAGCTGGAATGACGTGCTAGGTCACTGCCGCAACTCGGAACTTGCATGGGCCTTTAGTCAGCAACGGCAGTTGTCTACACAGTTAAGCGAATTCGAAACTAACAGTGAACAGAGAGCTGGTCAAAACTTGAGTCAACCGAAACAATATATATTTATATTTTATGAAGATTCCTCTGAGCTCCCTTCCCCAATGGCCGTGATAACGTCTGCGGGTCGGAACGCTCGGCCTCCTTTATTGTGAGCCCAGACCTGTTCATGAAGCGTAGGGCCTTGGGTGCCTCCCGATTATGATTACAATAACGGTTAATGCGAAATGAAAATATCTGTTTCGTCTTTATTACTGGTACCGAACAAATTTCGCTCATAGACTGTTTCGATTTGGTGTTACGGTTACGGTTTGAGTACCTCAGACTAACATCTTGTGATTTTGCGTGATACCTGCCAAAGAACCCATATTAATTCATATTTATTGACCAAAGCGCGTCACATAGTCAAGACGCAAGTCACTGCCCCTTAAGACGAGCAGTGTCTTTAGATGCTGAACCACAGTTTTGCACTCGCAAGTGCTTTATGTTGGAAAATAGATTTATAATTCTAAACAACAGCAAAAAAGTAGATACATACAAATTGTTATGTGTCACACGACATGTGAAGATATGACAAATTTATGGAACCGTTTTTTACGGTCAGTTGTGATTGATGTTCATATTCAGTCGTGACTGAGGTTCATGCAAAGTTAACTAACGCAACAAACCGTTTTGTTGAACCAGGAGATATTTATCATCGAATGGGCGGAGAGTCGGATGCGGAGGAAATTACACGGCCGCAGTCCTTAGAGTCCAGTGTGGCTGGAGAGACAGACTATGCACCAAGTCATGGTAAGTTTTACACCCTTTAGTCGCTTCACGCAGCGCAATGAAGCATTTTAAATCAATGTTAATTTTATACATTTAGCTTTTTCTTAGCCTGGGACATTAATAAACATTAGCATTTGTTTCTAACACAAAAATATGCATGTTCATTTTGTATTAGCTTTGCACATCGTTAAAAGAGACAGTGCATTGACCGTTTTTTTCATGGTGGCCGCCATGTACAATTTTGATGTAGCTGAGTTGGGGAAGAATACCAAATCACTTTACTCGCCGATTAGAAGGCTCCGGAATGCAAGGGGTTCGTACCGAGAAAAAACTAGTTCTAGTTTTTCTTGGATGCACTTTTTTTTTTCCTTTTGGCAATGGCTAAACTGCATACATTAATTTTGGTCGCCTTACTCAAGTACTTCATATTTAAACATGGTATGCCGTCGCACGAAAAAGGTCTATAGCTCATAGCGTCCATGCGGCGGACGTATAATTGAAATAACCATACCGAAGAATGATGTAAAATTGCTTGTCCCCCTACACAAGCTAGTACATATTAATTTTTATGCATTTATGAATAGAAGTTTCAAATATATAAACCGTCTTATTACAAAGATGCAAGACTTCCTTGGTGAAAATATCAGGTTACTACAAATGTTTTAATTAAATAAAAGAAATGTTTGAGATTCCCGGCACATAATTTTCAATTGTGTTTAGTTCATATATGTACATAACAACAGACCGTTTCGGATTTTGATTTCACCTAGATTACTTCTATGAACAATTACAAGCTGACTTGTATTCTTCATAAATGTGCCGATCAACGATATCGGGCAGGGATGTTTATAACTTTACACTAGCGCCCTGGCGCTAGTGGGACTCAAGTATACTCGCATGCAACGCCACTGTCGAAGAAACTTCTTTGTCTCTGCCAACATTTAAGGATAAAATCGGACGTTCTTTTATTTTTTTTAGTCTCTCTTTCGCAAAAACTTGATGACGCCGTTGTGGGGATCGCATCGTTGGCGTTGTCAACCATGCGTTCCACATGATTTCCACTGGAAACGCAGCCAGTCGTGGCTAGGCACTAGGCGGGCCCCCCCCCCCCCCCCCCCCCCCCCCGAGCTAGCTTTTGACACCCTCACCGAAGCTTACGGCGAGCGAGCCCCCACTACGGGGGGAGGGGGGGGCGCCATTAAATCTAATCAAATCCAATCCAGTCCAATGGTCATCAAGCTTTGTGATCAGCACGGTGACAATATCTAAACGCTGCTCAAGCAGTGGACACGAGCATTGCTTGAGCATTCGATTTGGGCTCGTGAATATTCATGTCTCAACATGCATTCGGCTAGTGGCTCTTGCCGAATTGCTGTGATTACGGGAATATCTGAACCTTTACAATGCGTGCAACTCAGCGCGTACCCCATGCTTTGCTAACCCCAGCGTGTGGCTATGATAAACGTTGGAGACATATTGTCAGCTTCAGATCACGTGGCTGCTTGTCCGGGTTTCGAGTTGAAAGGGGGAACGCTGCTTGTTTTTCCCGTATATTTTCTCCGACTATCATTGTGAAGACAAAACAAACGAACCCCTGTTTAAGAAGTTATCAATGGCAAAGAACTCTTTTTTTGGGGTATTTATGTCAGCAGATAAATTGCTGCATCTCCGTTTTACTGTAGCAAGCTGCTATAGTAGCACTGCAAGAGTCCTTGCAAAAATTGATGTGGTGAAAATAGTTTCAATAAACAAACCACACCATGTCTTTACTGAATATAATAAAATAATTCCTAGCTCAAACCTACAGCTGAAGCACTACTAGTTTTTCATCTTTTGCTTTTGAGGGCCAATTTTCTTGCATATCTAACAAAGAACGTGTGATGTTTCTAAAGTTTGTACATTGGAGTGCTCAGAATCATGGCGAGAGACAGAATATTTAATGTCCCTAACGTTTGTACATTGAGACACTCAAAAATATGGAAAGAAAAATAATATTTAATGTCTCTGAAGTTTGAATAGTGAGGAGACCAAAATGCCTCACTAGAACTAGAACATATCCTGCAAGAAGACATTCTGAGCTGTATTGTCCTCCACGAGCAGTTACGCTCAAACATACCACGCAGTCGCGATAAGCCAGCTAGTCACCTAACTTTATTTGGGTGTACGTTCAATAAATCTGTTCATGTTTTTATATATGGAAGTTTTTTTGTTTCTTTTTTTAAGTAGAGGCTTTACAGAATTCTAGGGTTTCAGAGTGTTGGCGTTCGCTTTGTTGGTCACTTTGAGTGTTCTGAAAACTAAATCAAAAGTTTATGACAATACTTTTTGAGTGGTGTTTGAGCTAGTTCTTTTAGCATGAATATTTTGTTGCTTATAAATTACACATCTATATTCTTATTTTCTGGCGTTATATATTCATTCCAGCACCATCGTGGGCAAGCACAACGGAACAGAGCAGCAGCTCCTGCAGAAGCGGTCGCTCCAGTGGTGCCAGTTGCTACGATGATTATATATATAATGAAGTAGATTTTGGCAGTGATGTGGCATTGGCTGCAAAAAATGGTGGCCTCCGGGTGAATGGGTCAATTATTTCGACAGCTGGATTAATAAAAAGCGATGGCATTAAAAACGCCTATGAAAGCTTGGCGAAAGGTCGGTTAAAACAGCAACGGGATCCACGATGATGAATTGCAGTAGGAGCCTTTGCTTCAAGTCCGGAAAGCATACATCAGGGTGGTCGGTTAGCCTATGCTGAGAGAGTTTTTATGCTCGGTAGTAAGACCGTTTACGAGCTCCATGTCGGCCTCCTCAAAAAAGGATAGTGCATGCGGGCCTTCTGTTATGAACGTCTTAATGATGTTGTCCAGCTTCTTTTGAAACAGAGCGTGCTTCAAGATCGATTGATATGGTGGATTCCACTCGTAGATCCGGAGCGCTTTCCAAAATCCGCGAGGGAAGCGAAATTTCGCTTCGTGGGACCCGCTCCGAATCGGCGGCGGGATGATAAACTCGCATTTTTGGAGCGACCTCTCCCCCACACCCCTCCCCACCGCTTCCCCCTCCGCCGTTCAAAATGGCCGCTGCTCGGGTTTGAGAAGCCCACCAACGCCTCAGCCAACTGATCTCTCCGACGACCAGTGACGACTGTCACTGCTTAGCTGCAGAAATAACAAGCGACACAGGCCGGGCAAAATTATACGTACCACGGCGCCCATGTCACAAATAACGAAGACGCCCGCGTTCGGCACCGTCACATACCTTTCGGCCGCCTCGAAGCGGCGGGGCACGGACAGCGATTGCCAGTGATGGAGTTCACACTCCTGGTACGACTTCAATAAACACAGAGGAAACAAACCATCACTTTCACAGTCGTTGCCTAATCTCTTGCTTTATTGCACGGGAAAACGCCGGCTGAATGCAGTGTAGAAAGGTAAACAATCATTGGCTGCGGAATGAGGCTAACCTTCCGTCTGCCTCCGGCTCTTCTGTCGTTCTTTTTCTCGTTCTTCCTCTCACGATCACAGATGTCAGCGCTTACGATTTACCACGTTCCACAGTCCCGGCTTTGTATCCTGATTTAGGTGAGGTGGAAGCGTTCGAGCCGTCACAATCTCGCGTAAAGAACCGACGCATCCGAACAAATCCAACTCGACGACCCGACCGGGCCCGACCGGCCGCCGACCTCGCCAACCTCGCCGCGCATACGCACTGCGGATTTAGAAGGAAAAGACGTGGGCGCTCTGTCAACTTCCGGAAAGATCTGTGAAATGCCGCAGAGCAAGTTCGGCGGGGTTCGTGGCGCTCCGTGGAGCGGGCGCTGCAGAGATCTACGAGAGGAAGATGACCAGCTCGAGCCAGATCTGCGAGCGGAATATGCGCGCTCCAAAGGGAGTGCTTTTGGAGCGCTCAAGATCTGTGAGCGGAATTCACCATTAGGCTCTCTAACCGATGAGGTATCTTCATAAAGACATTTGTGCCCTCCCTTTTTGCGTTAGGATTTCATCTTGCTCAAGAATGTGCCGATTAGCTCTCTGAAAGGCTAAAAACGAAGCTGCAAAATCGATGCTTGTTATATGCCTTTACTTCGAGAAGTAAAAACCTTTCTCTAAAAACACCTCCAAATCGCAGAGCAAAACGTAACGTTTATCTACAAGGATCAGTACCATGCATCTATATATTGCAACATGCAATATGCGCATTTCACGTAAGGCAAGCACTGTAACCTTCAAAAGGTGCCAGGCAAAAAATACGAAAATGTCATTTTTGTACGACGTTATAAAGCGCAGTAGGCGTTTATATAAATTATTCTATATATCGCTCATTTTTTGCAGAAAGCACTTAGACGTACAAGCTTTTCAAGTAATGAGAGCACAAATTATTCGAGTTTATATAACAAAATATTTCAAGAACCAGGACTCAAATAATATTAGTATTTTTTGCGGCCTGAACTAAAAAACAAAAAGAAAGAAATAACCCGCGCTGCTCGAGCGTTGTTCCACAAAAACGTAAACAATGGGCTTCTATACCTTGCTTCTCTAAAGACCGAACCTGACGAAGCTTATAAGTAATATAATTGTAGAAATTTACGATTGATTAACCTCTACACACCAGAGGTCGGCATTTTAGGTCGCCCTCACTCACCCTCACCCTCACAGCCACACTCACCTAAACCCCTCACTCGCCCTCACCCTCACAGCTACACTTACCTTCAGCCCCTCACTCACCCTCACCCTCACAGTCACACTCAACTTCAGCCCTTCACTCACCCTCACTGAACCTCACGGCCCTCACGCACTCACCGCCCTCACGGCCCTCACGCCCCTCACGGCCCTCACGCCCCTCACCGCCCTCACGGCCCTCACGCCCCTCACTCACTCATGGCCTTCACGCCACTCACCGCCCTCACGTCACTCACCGCCCTCACGGCCCTCACCGCCCTCACCGCCCTCACGGCCCTCACGGCCCTCACCGCCCTCACGGCCCTCACCGCCCTCACGGCCCTCACGCACTCATAGCCCTCACGCCACTCACCGCCCTCACGGCCCTCACCGCCCTCACGGCCCTCACGCCACTCACCGCCCTCACGCCATTCACCGCCCTCACGCCTTTCACCGCCCTCACGCCCCTCACCGACCTTGTGGCCCTCACACCCCTCACGCCCCTCACGCACTGATGGCCCTCACGCCACTCAGGCCAGCTTCAGATGGGGCAATTTCGCCCAGAAACTTTACGTCGCAACACCAGCAACACGGGCCGCCCGCGATCACACGCAGCAACCAATTGCTGCAATTTGCCATCGTCATCATAAAATTTTATTTTTCTTGCACTTTTTAAACACAATTACGCGTTATAAACGTGTTTTTATGCATTTAAATATCGTTAAGAATACTACTGCACCTTTCTGGAACAGTTTATTTCCAAAAAACGATCGATTTCAAACCAGAACCAAGTCTTTCGGTGTCATCATCACCGGCACGAATTATCACTTGAAAATTTTGCGTCCCAAATTGGATGCAGCCGCTTTAAACGTATTCAAATTGCTCCGAGTTGCTTGCTTATTTCGAGCCGAACCCGATCTCAGCAATTCGTGTTGATCTAGGGAAAGCTAGAGAACAACCCGCCATTAACACTAAAATTGCTGAGAAAGATGCTCGATCTGAAGGGGGCATCACGTACCCACCGCCCTCACGCACTCATGGCCCTCACACCCCACCTCATGCACTCACCGCCCTCACGGCCCTCACGCCTCTCATGCCACTCACTGCCCTCACGCACTCATGGCCCTCACACCCCTCACGCACTCACCGCCCTCACACCACTCACGCACTCATGGCCCTCACGCCACTCAGCGCCCTCACGCCCCTCACGCACTCATGGCCCTCTTACCCCTTACCGCCCTCACCGCCCTCATGGTCCTCATGACCCTCACGGCCCTCACGGCCCTCACCGCCCTCACCGCCCTCACCGCCCTCACAGCCCTCACGGCCCTCACGGCCCTCACCGCGCTCACGGCCCTCACTCACCCTCACACTCATGAATTTTCCTGGTTCAGAAACTCACTCACCCTCACCTCACCTGTGAAGATGAGGGTGAGTGAGGGTGAGTGAGGGCCCTCATGAGTGAGGTTTGCCGAGGTATGCTACACACAATACAAAACACCTCATTTAATTTAAAATGAGAAAATAAACAACATTAGGAAAATCTTACCGGCACATGTTTTTCTTATTTTTTCAAGCTTGTGGCACATGTTTTGTTTGCTTGCGTGGGAGTAAGGCGTTGATATGAAATAAATGATTTTCCTTTAAAAAAAAAAGATTGCAGATGATGGGGATAGCCAAAGACAACCGGCTTGAACACGAGGGGTACGACGTGGAAAGCTTCGAGGAAACAATATTAGTTAAAAGGTACAACAACCTCCTTTATATTATTAATGTCAGACGCTAGTGCTCTCGGTTGTGGACCACGTGGTGATAAATAGCGCGAAGGTCAAGTACACGCTAACGGAAGAAGCGCTACTTATTTCTATACATGACCTTCGCGCTATTTATTTCTGATATGCATACCCAACTAGCATGGACCACGCGGAAGGGTAAAAGGAAACTAATTTTTCTTTAATTTCTGAGATAATACTAAAAGCTATGAGAAGAGCGAAGTGATGCAAAAAGGGGGCAAGCACTCAGCTTTGAGCATAAATAATCCAGGCTAACTTCATCAAGCTCAATTCCAGATCTTGAGGAAACACTGTTAGGGTTAGACAACCTGTACATCTACGGTAGCTGCGGACTTGGATCGTGAGGAGCAAGAATGTGGTTCAAGCTGTGTTCACCGGTGCTTGTGAGTCACTGTCGGGTCGAAAACTGGGGGCGGACTACCGTGTGCTCGGACACTTCCAGAGACGACATGCAAGAAACTGTTCCCCTGGGTGTTTGTGATCTTGCGGAATGAACGCTAAGGACTGGCAGCTATGGTGTGACCCCGAAAGTTCCACACTCGCCGAGAACCTGCGAAGTGCGATTTACTTGTGTATCTCTCCGGGAATTCCCGCCAACAAGCCCACCTCCTCGCTCAGAGGAGGCAACATAACGGAGCGAATGTTCGGGAGATCGTCGTCTTCCGCCGCAACTATGCGCTATGCAATAAACCTTTGTTAAGTTTGTCTTCCTTTGACTCCCGAGTGCTGACTGGGCAGGGCGGCGCTCCCGAGTTTACATGGACGCCGACAGCCTCGCCTGCTATCTTGCGACTGTGGTGGCGCTCTCGTCGCAGCCAGTTTGCGTCAGTCCTGTCAAGCCAAACTCAATGTGCTTTTTTTTTCCCATTGTGAGCTTGAAACAGGTCGTGCCCCGTGCGCGATTATTTTGCCTCTGGGGCCTGAGCGGTATATTTTCAACAAAAAGTTGAATATATGAAAATATAAATTGTTGCCGAAATCGCGAAGCAGAGTGCCACTGAAATGCGATAGCGTCTTGTGTCATCTTGTACTGCACAAATGTCTCTTCAATATTCTGCTTAGGAAATCCTGTAAAAATTCTAGGAATAAGTTTTGTCGACGTCTAAGGAGTCGTATCTCGCATTAACCGAGCCGCAAAATTTTCGAATCTAACAGTCTACTCCCAGCGGCTCTTGTCGTAATATCAATGCAAATTATACGGTTCCCTCTTACTACATTCGTATAAGCATTGAAGTCAAATCTACCTGCTCGCGGTACTGGCACGTTCCCCGATGTCGACCGAGGTAATAAATGTTATCACTCTTGCAACCACAGCTTCGAAAATCTCCACTGTGGACCAGTGGTTACTCGTGGAGCTCGCGACCTTACATGGTTTCATTCCCTTTGGGGTTGTTTGTAGTTTCGATCTATCTTTTTAATCAATCACATGATTCCTCTCTCGCACATGCGCATTCGTTTCGCTGGTTACAAACAGGACAGAAACGAAAGAGCGTAAAGTTCGCTCAGCGCATAAATAAACGTTATCACTCTTGCAACCA